GAAGACAATAGTTGATGTGTTGCTCAATTTGGTGGATTAGTTGAAATTAGACATTAACACCAATGGATACTGGTTCAGAGGTCTAATGGTTAAGCACTCACGCTTGAGACTGATAGGTTCTAGGTTCGAATCCATAGTGATCTAACTCCAATTGACTCATAATCTTAACTATTAAAATTACTGTGATATCCACAAAACCCCTTCTGATATTATTATTGATTCAAAGCAAAAACTTACATTATCACGAAGCGGGCCAGTATATTTACATCCATTGACAAGTTTCATTTCCCATTTCAATTGAAAATTCAAATCCGATAAATCATTTATTACCCTAGCAATTGTTCTATTGCAACGACCACATACTATAAATAAGTGATATCAATAATCATTAGGAAGATACTATCGAAGGTTTAAGACTATATTACTCACCGAATGATTTTGAGAATAAGTTTCATTTAGTTTAACTCTACTACATTGAACCAATAGACCAATGGACCACGGTATAGACTATAGCGTCGATTGATGTTGAAACACATCAAACTTGTGCAATGTTTGGTGTTTACCAACCGGTGACTCAGTGTCCGAATAACTGATGCTGTATCATATTCAAAACTATCTTTTGTTTACACTGTTTTTAAAAAGCATTGACTGTTAAAGCTACCAAAAAAACCCGATTATTCAAGGACTTTCAATGATGAAAAAGGAGATGGAACAGTTTTATGGTCAAAAATTGAAGGGATACCATGAACTTTGTATAATAATAATGTATTCGTGCTCTTTGTTTCTAGGGGCATTGAGCAGACTATTTACTATGCTTAAATAGAAATGGTATATTTTTCATTCGATTGTATTGACTGCTATTTTACAAATAGTGTTGTTATGAATGTGTCTGTCTATAAAAGAAATATTTATCTTTCCCTACAATGCTGAATTTTATAAACATAAGAGTTACCAACATCCTAAATGCCATTTCACTTATTCTGAGTAACATTTGAATCCGTTACTTTATTGTTTTCTGTTCAACACTTTTACCTTTGTGAAGTATACTCAATATATTGTACCACTTACATAATAAATATGTAAACAGAAACTATCACTGTTAAATGTATTCATATGAATTATATACTGAATAAGGATTATCGAATAATATTCTCTAATGACTAATATATTTTTAATATCAGAAGGGGTTTTGTGGATATCATAGTAATTTCAATAGTTGAGATCATGAGTCAATTGAAGCTAGACCACCATGGAAAATCTAGAATCACTGGACGGTCGTTCCGTGACTGGCTTCAAAATGTATATCCTGGAGTTCTATTAAGAAGCAGTGACCAATGGAGTTCAACCGGGTCAGTTGTGAGATAGTAACTCACTGAAGACAATAGTGGATGTGTCGCTCAATTCGGTGGATTAGTTGAAATTAGAAATTAACACCGTTGGATGCCAGCCAGCTCAGTGGTCTAGAAGTTAAGAACCCGCGCGTGAGACCGATATGTCCTGGATTTGAATCTCGTGGGGTGGGATCGTGGATGCGCGCTGTTGAGGAGTTCCACAATTGAACGAAACGGCCGTCCAGTGTTTCCAGGCTTTCCATGGTTGTCTATCTTCAAGTGACTCATGATCTCAACCGTTGTAATATTTTATAGTTTAGGATTAGTCAACTATTGCTACGATGTACTCAGTTAATTAAATCCTGATCGTTTTGCATCTTTTTATTATAGATTACTTATCTTATAAGAGATAATAAAGCAATTTGAATTGAACACTACTAGATATAAACACTAATTGTAATTTCTTAATGTAGTAATTATATATTTACACAAGTGGTTACTGGTTGTGTTTCCCAATATCTATTTAGTTAGAGTTTGAATAAAGTCTTCTAAAGAAAGACGTATAGTTTGGTTGCTTAAGTAATTTCAGCCTTTCTATCGAATCAGCTGATCCGTCTAAAAAAATGGTTAAAAAATGAATTTTACATTAGGACTGATTTTAATTAGACCATCAGTGTTCATTCGACTGCTGTTTTAGTCAAATGTTTAAAATGATTCCAAATATTTGTTCCTATTAATCTGTACGTCGATGATCTGTGTTACACTAAAGTAGATTCTTTATTGATGTTTATAATTGTTCATATACTTCTAATGCTTTTAATAGGCAACTGCCGATAGATTCACTTACTACGTGATCAAGATTGTAAAAAAAAATACACATGATATTTACAAACGATCTCCAAAAGCATTAGTTAAAAAGACAAGGAGAAAAGTATGGAAGATAAATAGCCATTTCTCACGAATTATTACTTTAAGTAATAACAATAATAATAAGGGGACTAGTGGTTACCTAAATTGTTTCACATTGTTACGGTTAAAAGACTGGTAATTAATATGATATGTCAACTATTTGACATGTACAATATCGCAGTTATTTGAATTTTTGGTTATAGATTAAGCAAGGCATGAAAATCCTGCACCAAGATATCAAACCATGAATTTTCAAATTAAGTAATACCCTTTTTTTAAAAAAAATAAACTCACAGTTCAATAAATTTTCACTCTAAAAACAAGATGATACAAAAAAAATGGACGAGTAACAAACAAAGGTTTTATTCACATGCTACCAAGTATAAAATGAACTATTAACATCGGATTCATGATAAAGTTTCGTCCTTTGTAGACTTCGTCGGTTGCTCTTAATACGATAGTTTTCAATGGTTTCCTTTTTCAACAGTCAAAATCATGAGTCAATTGACGCCAGACCACCATGGACAGCCTGGAAGCACTGAACGGCCGTTTCGTCCTAGTATGGGGCTCCTCAGCAGTGCGCATCCATGATCCCGCCCCCCGCGAGATTCGAACCCAGGATATATCAGTCCTGAAAGTGAGTACTTAACCATTTGACCACTGAACTGGCATCCAATGGTGTTAATGTCTAATTTCAAATAGTCCACCAAATTCAGCGACATATCAACTATTGTCTTCAGTGAGTTACTATCTCACAACAGATTCGGTTGAACTCCATTGGTCACTGCTCCTTACTAGAACTCCAGTATATACCTTTTGAAGCCAGTCACACATGATCTCAACTATTAAAATTACTATAATATTCACAAAACTCTTTCTGATCTATATTCTATTGATATATAATTCTTGATAAAATCTCCCTATTATAACTAACTAATTTATTAATCTATTAAATCTATTTACAATTGATATTACTTACTTGAAGATATTCATTATGTATAGTAAAACCTTTAATATAAGATAAATAGATTACTATTAGGAAACATTTATAAAGTAGATATATTACATACATAAGGTAATTATGAATTGAAATTGTCGACTAAACATAATTGTAATTGTATTATATAAAACAATGGTCAATTTAATGACAATTCCAATGGACTTTATAAATTATAATGACAGACAATTATTATTATTATTATTATCATAAGGAATAAGAGTTGATAATTGAACTTTGAATTGTGATTAATAAATTTGTGATCATTTTATGTTTATATCAAATAGTTTTTTTATATTTAAGGTTATTTTAAAACAATCGATGTATTTTTTTTATTTTATAAACAAAGATGGATAGTAACTAGTAGTGGAATCCAGGAGGTGTGTTTCGTCTTATTTATAATTTGTCAACTGCTTATATCTACATCTTAGAGTTGATGTTTATTTTGGGACTTGAATCCAGTATCGTTCGTTCCAAACGCCGTCACGTTACCCACTTAGGTACTAAGTCCTAATAGCCACTTGCTTGTGCAATAGGGTGAAGTTTTAAATTAACTTGGTACAGTTTAGTCGTATTTTCCCATTGATGTTCAGGACTGAAATTGGTCAGTTTCTTATCAGCATATTTGCATACTGTGCGTATTGCATCTGTATTACCTTCATTCACAGGAATTCTAAAAAAAGATTGATAGTTGCTAGTAGTGGAATCCAGGAGGCAGGTTTCGTCTTATTTAGAACACGTTAGGTGAATGTACCTGCATCTTAGAATTGATGTCCACTCTAGGACTCGAATACAGTATCATTCGCTTCAGATTCTCACTTAGCTACTGAGTCCTAATAGCCACTTGCTTGTGCAATGGGGCGAAGTTTTAAATTCAATTGGTATTGTTTACTTGTATCTTCCCATTGAATCAATTTAAATAACAGTGGGAAAATACAAGTAAACAACATCAAATGAATGTAAAATCTTTTTTTATTTTAATTATAAAAGTATTCATTATAAATAGATATACATTAACATATATTTGGATGGTATAACTACTCTTTGAATCAATGGTTATTTGAAATAGATGTTCAGTGTGACAATTTGAACTAATGCTTAGTTGTGTATCGTTCTATCATGATTATAATGTACTGAATGGTAGTTTTAATATGAAGTAGTCAAAAAAAAGTTATATGAGTTAATCAAGACAAGATAGTCTTTACAATAATGATTCATAGTTATTTGAGATTATAATGTACTGGGGATGCTAGATCCTCAGAATTCATTTGATTAATGTTTTATTTTGGAAATTTGAATTTCTTATTTTCGCGCTCAAAGCGCCCATTTTCACCTTTATGTTGTACTTCCCATTTGGTAAGTATTCAGTACCAAGTATGAAACTCCTAAGTAGAGTAAATCCATAACTAATTTTAACCTGCTATTAGATTATGCATATGCTTATCATAACATCGAAAAATCTTGCTAATGCCTCAGAAAATCACCACAATGTGAATACTATCAAAAGACTATAAATCGAACATATAATCTCTATTTAATTCATCCAAAATTCTTTTCAAGTCACGCAATATAAAATAATCATATTAAAACTCTATGTATCCTCTGAAGGAAATCATCAAATAACCCTCTTATATAATTACCTTTGTTCATTTAAAACAAAAATACATCAAAGGTCAGTTTTTACAAAACCACCAATTCTATATATATATATATATATATATATATATATATATATATATATATATATATATATATATATATATATATTCTTGAATACTTCCATTATCATTATGATTTATCAACTATTAATTTTATCATCATTAATTAATATTCTAAGTAAGTATAATTTCATATTGTGAGGTTTCCACTTTAATGAAGCTTCATCAGCCATCAAGGAATATCACAGTTATGAAAGTGAATTCAATGTAAGTGTAATACTTTATTATTAAAACTTTCTTATTCATATTTATATTTGAATACAATGAGAATAACAAGATTTAAAGCATAAAATGATTTCATTATTTAATTTCAAGTCTTTTTATAAGTTGTAAAAAGTATAAACTTACAAACAGTAACATAATCATAAACAAGAGTTTAACACTCTTTGTGTAATGAATAATATAATACAAAACATATGATTAAACATAGTTTTGATTGGCACGTATTTATATTTTCAATCGTTGAGATTATGAGTCTATTGAAGGTAGACCACTATGAAAAACCTGGAAGCACTGGATGGCCGTTTCGTCCTATTGTGAGACTCCTCAGAAGTGCGCATCCATGATCCCACCTCGCGAGATTCGAACCCGAGACTTGTTGGTCTGGCGCGCAAACGCTTAACCTCTAGACCATTGAGCCGTATTTATATGTTGAAAAGTGGTCATACAGACTAGACGTGATGTCATAGTTACCGATCAACATAAGGAGATGTACAATTTCATAATTATGCTGGCTATTTTTTTAATGAGTGATCGGTGAGATAGTCGTTATTATCATATATTATTATTATTACTGATATTTAAAAATAACCTCTTACCATCAATTAACTGACGTTGTCTAAGAATGTTTTCATTTAAAATGCTTAGTCCTTTAGTTACATTTGTTAATACTGTGTAAAGCTAAAATAAATAAACGGTTCGTAACTGTATTATTTATGATACTTCTACTAAGTGAATAATTAAAAATTAAAGGACTTACTTGTTGTACAACAGAATATATTTCAAATCACATCGTCTAATGTCATTAGCTTCTGTTTCTTAACTGTCTAAAGTGTGATCTGAACCAAATAGACTGAGGAAATTTATTAGTCAGTCAATGACTTCATAATGAGTTTTAGTTTCATTCCCACTACTTACATGCTTTTTCAAACCCTTCTTTTTATAATCAGTATAGATTATTGGTAAAAATGTTATCTAAACATGGGTAACAAGTGATCCATAAGTGTCAGCTTACCAGGATTTGGAACCAAATCTCCTACATTTCCTTATATATATACACTATTCAATGAATGGATTTATTATGTTCAGGCAAAACTAACTAATACAATTTACATGCAAAGATAGATAGTGGCTAGCAGTGGAATTCAGGACGCGCGTCTCGTCCTATTTGGGACTCGTCAACTAGATGTACCTGCATCCTAGAGTTGATGTTCACTCCGTGACTCGGATCCAATACCGTTAACTTCAAACCCCATCACCTTATTCACTTAGCTACTGAGTCCTAATCGCCCTTAGTTTGTACAATGGGGTGGAGTTTAAACTCAATTTGTATTATTTGTTTGAGAAGATACAAACAAACAATACAAAAATAGTTTAATGCTACTTACATTTGTCATTAACCATTTACGATGGAAATAATGAAGCTTATTGTTATTCAAAATAAATGTATAGATTAAACATATTGATAAACTCATGGTACAATGTCTTTAGTTCATTTCTGTGTTCTATTAAATGATCAATTTGACTATTTTAGAGAAAAATAAAACTAATCCGTAGAAATCCAGCTGTAATAAATATAACACTAGTATTTATAACTCCCTTCAAAATTGTCTCTAATTGTGAAACCAACTTACTTACTTACTTATTTACGTCTGTTATCCCACTTGAAGGAGTATAGGCCACCACCAACACTCTCCATCCAACCCTAATTGTAAAACCAAGTCATAAGTATTTTTCTATTTTTGTTTTGTTTTGTTTTAGAATATAAAATTCAACCAACTTAAACATATATATCATCATTTTATCTTAAATCAAAATCCAGCTAATCCTTGTAAGTTTATTTTCCATCAAAACAATAATCTATCTATCTTATTATCTACATGAACTTTCTCTCTCACCCTGATACTCACTCCTTTCTTTATTTCAGCATGTTTCGGTTGTAAATCTGGATTATGGTTGGCTAAAACATTTGTCTTTGGTAGTAAACAATTTGTACATGATCATATTGAAGTGACTTGTAAAAATTTAAAAAATATTTATCAACCTGTAAGAACACACAAAATATGGTTTATTCTAATGAAATATTATATTTCTTTTTTTACTTAAAACGATCCGAGTTATGCATAATAGTCGGTTATGGTCATATCTAGCATAGTTTATGTTGAGATACAGGATGAAAAACTATATATGTGGTAAAAGAAAATTACACTCCACTATGAAACATTCATCCATTAAATCAATAAAAAAAGAAGTGCTTAGTGAACATAGACACATTTTGAATAAACTATGATCGTTTTATTTATTTTCTGGTTAGCGTTTTTTTTAGCGAGTTAGTTTTCTATGGGATGGGGACGCTAACCCCATGCCCAACCCTCTTCCTTTATCCGGGCTTTGGACCGGCAGTAGCCCCCGAAGGGACTCCTGGCGGAGTTCGTTTTATTTATTCATTTATATATTTGAACATATTGGTACAGAGTGACACCGAATACATATGTGCCACACAAGTCACTTGATTAGTGTGTAGACTATGATACTGCCCGAGGGCCCAGAACAAAGCAGGTGGTTTTCTTAGGGAGGCACACCCCAAAACCTTTGACCTAAAAGTTTGATCCACAAGGCTGTGGAACAACGTCAGGAGATGCAGTCCCATGGTAGCCGGTGACCAATAATTGGTTCATACGCCATTTTTTTTTACTCAGGATCGTATAGCCATTGTGCACCATTGGTTTGGAAGCAGGATCCATCATATCCACCAACCCGATTAGTGCGCTGGATAGTTGTTTCTCCTCCTCTCAGTTTCGTAAACAATAATAATGGTGCGAGAAAGTGGTGAATAGGACTTTCGTGGGAGTGGCTGTATGCGCGCGGCCATGTGGAAGTAATTTGAGAAGGAGAGCTGACTCTCCTTACCCTCGGCCATACCAGGGTATTTGGGGGAAGTACTACATTCTATGCCATCAAAAGTGATGATAGTCCAAATTAAATTCCGTTTACAAATGGAATAAATATTTGATGGTTTTTTGTTGTAATATCTCACTGTTTCATGTGATCAACATACATTTCTTGGACAACAATTTCCATCAAGAACTGGACATTAGCTGAGATGTCATTGAAATCCATGATATAAAAATGAACATCCCCTTCTAGTTTTCTACTGCTACCACTACTACTACTCCTAGTGCATCAGAAATAAGCATCCACCATTTAACACCAAAAGGTTTTGGGGATTAAGAGTATGGATAGCCAAACTAGAGCAAAACAGCTGTCCAACACTCGGTAACTTCCAACCATCTGAAATTAATTTAGTGATGAAAATTAACTTTATATATTAAATTCTAATAAGATCCATCATTGACAGTTACATGTCACTTTAAAAAAAAACAGAGATTTTTTAAAATTTAAGCTTACTCTGTTTAGCAATACTTGTCATAAATTTCTACAATATTCCACTTAATAACTACGATAATCACATTAGGAAAATAGTCAGTTTTCTTTGATAAAACGAACACTATTCCATTTAACAACCATAATATTCTGTTTCTTAAAAACTGACGACTCTCTTCTTGGATTGTATATTTTTTCTAGTGTAAAAGAATATTAACTGAATTTCTGGATTACGCTTATGATCTGATATATGCTTACAGTTCAGCTGATCTATGCGCAGTAAGTTGTCTTAAAAAAATATGATAGTATGAATAATTTCCATTGTCAGTGTAAAGAGTTTACAGAAATGACGACTGTCATTATGTGGTGTTGACCATTAAACTCGAAAATCTCCGTGAACGCTTTATACTAACAAAAGTATTTTTCTCATTAGTGATTGATTTTGAGAAGTAAATCACGGAGTTCCGGTAAGAAGCAATATCGAATGCAGTTTAATCGTATTGAGTTTAAGCCAGTTGCCCATCAATAACATTGGGAGATGGTTGCGTATTCTCGTAGATTGATTGAAGCAAAATAATATAAACCATTGGAGACAGGCTCAGCGGACTAATGGCTAAGCGCCCATTATGAGACCTAAAGATCGTAGGCTCAGTCGCTGGTATGTTGTGGAAAATCATTGCTGAGAGCTCTCACTCTAGTATGAACCAGTTGCCTAGTTCCTTTTGCTTTTTCATGGTTGTTTAACTAAAGTAAGATCGTAGTGTGAAGTGAGATCAAATAGTGAAATACTGTGTTTGATGATTTAATACGATAGATAAGAAACCCCATCTTTAAAGCATTAAATAGTAATGTAATACCGCAGAAAATATGAATGTAACCCCAAGGGGAAGACTTCAGCAATACATTAAATTTACAGACTGTAGTCGTCAAAGAATAATCCCAGTTGAGATACGATCGGACCTATGAACAATTATTTTGTCGAAGTACGGGACATTTTGGCAGTGCTCACTTGTATTTCCTCATTGTATCGTCGTCACAATGTACCTCAAATCGACCAAAGTTGTATATATACCGTGGACATTTATCTGTTCCTTCTAATGCATTAGCGTTAACCATCAGACCTGAAGGTTTTAAGTCCGATCCTAGGGGGATTTGTTGGTTCAAATCACCGAGGAATCCTATACTAGAATAAAACAGCTGTGCAACGCTCCTAGATTTTCTGTTACAGCCCAACTGAAATCGATATTTAACGAAAGTAACCTACAAACTAAATCACTATCCACCAAATCCCTTTAACTGATTCAATCAAGTCGCTATACATTGTCTCATTTATATACAGCCTCACCAGTTTAACGCTTTCAGAGTGAAAGAAAGTGACTAAAAGATACATCCGGCCGAAAAAACTGATCATTTTGATTTTTTCCTAAAACCCGATTCCATCCTAACTTTCTTCCACTGTCTTACATCATAGTGTAATCATAGTTAGTTTAATTAGTTTATTACTATTTATTACTATTTCATTACAAAAATTTATGGTTAGTTTGTACAATTTTTGTTTTGTTTTATCAATCCATAGCTTGCTGGGATATGTGCCAATCCACCGAAAATTGACTGTGAGAACATTTTACTTTTGAATTAGTATGGTTTTCATAATACTTTTTTTTATTAATTGAACCATTGCTTAAAAAAGTACCATTGACTATAGAAATTGTGTTTTTTTAATAGTTAAGATCATGAATCAGTTGAAGCTGGACCACCATATAAAATCTGGCAGAACTAGACGGTCGTTTCGTTCTATTGTGGAACTCCTCGAATCTCACGAGGCGGGACTGTGAATGAGCACTGCTGAAGGGTCCCACAACAGAATGAAACGGCCGTTCAGTGCTTTCACGTTTTTCATGGTGGTCTATCTTCAATTGACTCATGATCTCAACTATTAAAATTATTATAATATCCACAAAAACCCCTTCTGATATTGAATTGTTATTTAGTCACTATGACAATTCAACTTGACACTATTGTTAATTATTGATTTACTAAATAATATTATCACTTTTGAAACAAACTGATTATGTCCGGTTATTATTTGACTCAAATGAAATTAAACTTACAGTTTTCATTTACTATTATTTGTTGTAGTTTATTGGTATGATCTAATTTTATAGATGATTAGTTGATTTTAGATTAAGAACAGGTAACCCCAAAATAAACTATCCTTTTCAGTTGAGTTGAATTCTTATCAAATAACGTTATGATATTGGTTACTATGCAATGACTGATTAATGAATTTGACCCATTCGATTTTATGAATTAATCTATACCGATGATGATGAGTATACTTAGTCTTATACTGTTTTTTATCATGTCATCTCATTACTTAGTCTCTAATCAGAATGCTAAGCCAGATAAATAGTCATTAGCATAATGTATCCTTATTATTATTTTTTTTCCGTTCAAATTAACAGAAAAAGAAAATAATTGTGTTGAAAAATATACAAACCGATTCCCTTGTTAACGATGAATAGTGGCTAACAGTGGAATCCAGGACACGCGTTTCGTCCCATTTGAATTTCGTTAGCTGGATGTGACTGCATCTCAGAGTTGATGTCCACTCTGGGACATCTATCTGTCGAGTCTCAAATAGGACGAAATTCGCGTCATGGATTCCACTGCTAGCCCCCCATCCATCTTTGTTTATAATAGTCACCTATATACACTCGAGATACTACTTATTTATTTATCCAACTTATTTAAAAGATTACATAAACATTTAAATATTTATTGAGGAAAGTAAAACAGATCTTTTTAATTTCTTCCTTTTTTTCCTAATTAGTTTGTCCACTTTGTTTAATGAGTGTAGCGGAAGGCAAAAATATATTATTATCCGATGCTCTTCTAAATGAATTACAATCTGTATTTGTACATGTATGTGATTATGTAAGATTGGAAGTAGAAGTAAGTAGTGCATATATTAGTTTTAAATTATGAGCTTTATTTCTAATTTCATTTTTTATGTTTTATACAATAATGACGACATAAATTCCATTCAAGGTTGTTTTTTGATATAGATTGAGTATATCCCCAATCTTTTCATTGTTTAATACATGTGTCGTACCCAGAACTTTTTACCATTTTTCCGTTCATCTATTTGGTGAATGCTGTATATTTGGGAATAATTTTCATAAACGATATCATTTTGATAAGTTGAGGTAATCAGCGACTATTTACCACAAACATTTACAATGTAAAACAGCATGACATGTCTTCAGTCTACAAAGTAGGGAAAGGAGACCAATCGAACCATATTAATCCCTGCAATTTGTATTAATGTAAAGATCCAATTCCGCTTTCAATATATCAAAAGAAGACGATGATATTGAATGTTCTAGTAGAGAATTCCAGTTATTCACTACTCGATACTGTCGGATAAAAAAAGACTAAATGTGACTAAATAATTTTTCATGTAAATTCCACTCTAAATATCCATGATTCAGTCACTAAATGAATGAAAAAGAAAGACCGAAAGTTTTGGGTATGATGAATGTAGTTAATCATGTGGATAACTCCATTCATAATACGTTTTTTAATATTCTATCAAGTATTATATATATTCTGAAAATAATTACAGAGTTCACGCCAGTTTATAGGCATGATCAGCTTGATATAATTAGTAACATAAAATGTAGAGGACAAACATGTGATATAAGATTGTTTTAGGTTACTAGTTCAAGAATTGTTTAGGCAGTATATTTGTGATATGTATTACATCAATGTAACGCACCGGCCGAGAACTTTTAATTCCTCTTAAGTGTACATCCTGTTGATTTGTGAACAGTGCATTTAAGGTCATTTCCTATGCCATAAGGAATTGATTATAATCATCTACAATTCGAGAAAGTAAAATGGGAACAGAGAGCACGGAACAGCAAAGCAATAATTACTAAAATATGTCAGTCAAGTCAACCATAATGCATGTGTCATATGACTCAGTGACATACTGTTCATGTTAGATATTAGGGTTGCCAAGGATGGTGTTAACGTAAGGTAACAAAGGGTAGGTGGTTTTATTTAGTGGATCCAGTAATAAGAATAGCTAAACATCTAAAGTTCTTATAATCTCACTTGTGGAATAAGATACACTTACAGGTGCTAGAACATTTAATACATATTTAGTGGAGCAGTATGCATCAATGCAGCAAATAAAGGATGAGAGTGATTTTATCTTACGAATAGATTGTGACAGATTATTCCAGAGTCTGGAAAATCTACAGGTAAAATAAAATATATAGAGAGATGACTTAGAAAGGGTCTGTTTCACTAGTGACAAGCAGTTACGGATGTTGTAATTAGAAGTTTCTGAACATTGACTTGCTTGACCGGATGTAAAGGATAGTTTATTAAGTATTCTGAAGAAAAAGTTTAGATTTAGTTTGAGTCTCCTCTTCCATAAAGGGTCTAGCCCAAGTTTATTACATGTAGAATTATAAGTTAAGGTACAGTCAGCTCCAAGATATAATTACACACAAATAATTGACAAATGATATTCAACTGTACTTTCTACCTTTATAATAATTTCACAAAAGCTACATAAAATAAGAAACTGATAGACTATTTTAACTATGGTTAATTTTGAAATCTAGATTCTAAATTAATTTAAACAGAATAGATAAAATGTTATAACTCTCGGTTTCACTTCGTCCAATGTTATAATGGTTGGATTTGCACGTTTACACGTATGAGACGTTAATTTACCTTAGACGAATATCTAAACTAGATTCCCTCCCAGTGTCTATTCTACAGGACTTTAACACATCTCAGATCAAGAAGACGCGATTAGCCTGACCACAACTTAAATATATATCCACACCAGAACCCGACACAATCCAACAACAATGAACAACCAATCAATCAATCAATAATAATAATAATAATAATAATAATAATAAGGATAGGGGAATATATAACTCATCTGACACTTGTCAGACAATCTGCATGTCTGACTAAGCAGACAACCAATCATTATCATCCTCGCCTACACATCATAAAATTTGTAAATTTCTTTCGTGTATGAAAATCGTTGTTGAACATAAATGCATTAATTTCGTTATTTGGAATAAAAATAATGTTCTGGTAAAATAAGTTGAAAAACCGTGACCAGTGTAGTCCAATCCATGTCAAGTGGATACAGTTATCCACTTCAGATGATGGATAAAGGATTGTGAAAGATTATTGTTCAATCGCAGTTAGACGCTAACACCATTGGATGCCGGTTCAGTGGTCTAAGGATTAAGAGTTAGCGAATGAAACCAAAGGCCCTGGGTTCGAGTCTCCAGTGTGAGATTGTGGATCTACACTGCTGGGGAGTCCCATATGGGAACGAAACGGTCATCCAGTGCTTGCAGATTTTCATTTGTGGTCTAGCTTAGACCGACTCATGAAAATAAATTGAATATTAGTGAAAATCAGAATGTACCTCATGAAACATTATAATTAAATGCGGTATTTATTGAAACTTATCAGGTTTCTCTATTAGTGGAATTCAAATCATGTCATATAATGAAATCTTAGTGTATCAAACGTTAACCAAAATTTTCAGTTTTAGTTATATCCACTAATAAAACGAAGTGACTGAGTACATTTATAAGGTTATTCATAGTCTGGATCATTTAGTGCTAATATCTTTGACAATAATACTGACTGATACGAGTGCAAAACCAACGAGAGAGATCATAATTCTTTCCCCTTCCCACCAAAATTACACATATGCCTTACTAACAACTGGCAATATATTCAAAGAAACCAACACATAACCTTAATAAATACATTTTTGTTATATCTCAGTGAGTAGATAAATTGTATTTCTGAGGTTTTGTGACTTAATGTAAACCACTTCTTCAGAGTAAATAAATAATCGAATTAAATTAACACAAGTTTAAATAGTACAACGGAAACTAAGCAGAATAATTTCGGTACAACCAAAATCATAGTAGGTCTGCATATGTCAATGTTAAGTTAATTTGTATGACCTATCACTGTATTAATTTGTGAGTCAGAATGTGGGTATGAAAAGTGTGAAAAATGTATGCATTTGTAATATGAAGTAGTGGGGTTGAAATTAAGTGCGTGCGTGTGTGTGTGTGTAAATTGTGTGGAAATAAATAAGGTCAAAGGTGAAAATTCACTTGTATCTTCCCACTAATTTTTAAGACTGCAATTGATCAGTCTCTTATTGGCATATTTGCATACTGTGCATATTGCCTTGATATTGCCTTAATTCACAAGCATTCTAAGCAAAGATGGATAGTGACTAGTAGTGGAAACCAGGATGCGCGTTCCGTCCTATTTGGGAATCGTCAACCGAATGTACCTTCATCCCAGAGTTGATGTTCACCCTGGGACTCGAACCCAGTATCGTTCGCTCCAAACCCCATCACATTATCCACTTAACTACTGAGTCCAAGTAGCCACTTGCTTGTGCAATGGAGAGAAGTCTAAATTCACATGGTATTTTTTACTTGTGTCTTCCCATTGATGTTCAAGACTGCAATTGATCAGTCTCTTATAGTATATTTGCACACTGTGCATGCTTCGGCTACTCGCCTCTGTAGTTGGAAAAGCCTTACATGACCAAATAAGTCGCCTTTCATTTTACATCCAAATCACTCAAAACTAAAAATCACCAAACACTCATTCTATTTTGACATCACTGTTATGCAGTACATGCCATATGAACACACGAGGTATCAAAACTTAATTTTCAATCTAAGGAAAAAAATTTCAGAAACCCTCATGTATCCAAACCATAGAAATCGAGCAATCCTTATCTTACCTTCAATACAAAAAAGATATGATATATTCTAGCATAGTTTATTTTAAGTAAATTTCGATTCTTCATTATAGTAGTAAATGGTACTTAGAATATTATATATATGTAATGAATGGACACTCGAGTAAGGAAGATCAATTTATTGTTGAATACAAAATTACAGAGTTGGTTCGCAAAATGAGGAATACCATACATTAAGTATTTTATTTTCAAATCCTCCATCAGTTATCTCAAACTTCCTCTTTCCTTCATTACTATTGCAATTAATCATACTCTATTTACATTCACATTCTCATCAATTCGATATTCTCAAACTTCTACTGTCAGGCATTACACTTCTAATTTATATCGACATAAACAATATTAAAATATAAAATATTATTAACATATATTGAAGTTTCAATAGTTGAGATCATGAGTCAATTGAAGATAGACCACCATGGAAAACCTGGAAGCACTGGACGGCCGTTTCGTCCTATTGAAATTACTACAATCTCCACAAAACCCCTTCTAATACTAATCAACATATTCTCACTAGGGACTGGCTTCAAGAGGTATATCCTGGAGTTCCAGTGAGAAGTAGTGGCCAGTGGAGTTCAACGAGTCTGCTGTGAGATAGTAACTCACTGAAGACAATCGTGGATGTGTCACTCAATTTGGTGGATTGGGTGAAGTTAGGCATTAACACAAATCGATGCCGGTTCAGTGGTCTAGAGGTTAAGCGGTCCCGCGCGAGACTGATATGTCCTGGGTTTGAATCTCGTGAGGCGGGATCATGGATAAACACTGTTGAGGAGTCCGACATTAGGAAGAAACGGCCGTCCAGTGTTCCCAGGTTTTCCATGGTGGTCTATCTTCAGTTGACTCATGATCTCAACTATTGAAATTACTGCAATTCCCACAAGACCCCTTCTGATATATTGAAGTATTGTATTTTATTTATTTATTTTATAGTGTTCCACATTTTTGAATGAACTTTATGAGAATGTTGTCGATATAATCAAACATGTTGTAGAACCACATTTCGTTTGTCAGGTAAATACTTAATTTGAACATTAATTATTTACAAATACACTTGATATAGTCATAGAAAGAAACTTTTTAAAAGAAAATTGAACGAGACTATAATTTATGGACGAACTAATCAGATATAAGATAACAGGTCTCGGAATTTGACGCGAACTTCATTCATTGATTTGGCTAAAAAGAGTTTTGGTATTATAGCTGATGTCAGTTCATGATCAAAACTTTAGATCTAATTCCTAACCCTAACCATCAACTGTAATTCATAAATCGAATTCCTCACACTGGTTTATTACTCTGCTAGCTACTGTCACATAACATAATGTATCAATTAGGTATTATTAACACATATTAGATGGGATTATGTTTAAAGTGGTTGTACTCAACCATGAGAATTAACTTTGGAATGTTTACAAATATCTAAAAGTCATTCAGTATTAAGCAGAGTAGAGAGGAATTGTCAAGGTGAATAACGGAGTAATATTAGCATCCATTGTAGTTAAAAGATATGGAGTACAGAACATAACTCGAGAAAAATGAATGAAGTTGTAGGATAAATAGTATAACATAAATTTAAAGTACAGGATCGAGGGAAACAGAAAGAGTGAATGCATCTGCACCTTGCAAATGGTTGTGAAACAATTTCACATAACGACTTCAACTCAATCTTCGAAAATTCACAATATCAGTAGCCAATCTGCCATCTTTGTCAGGTATCCTAATAGCTGGTGTGTTTTTTTCGTTGTTCAAGTAATTGATTTCAAGAAAACACGGTCGGTGTTTTGATTCAAACAGGAAGCTTTAGTCTCAGAAGATAATTTAGCACTTCTAAAATAATCCTTTATCCAGTAGTTTAAAAGAATTGATATGAATAAAGTTGAAAAAAATGAACCCCTAACAGGCGACCTATAAATTCTAAATAAGACGAAACGTACTTCTTGGATCCTAATTCTAGCCATAATGCCAAATCGACTCAATCCGCTTAACAAAAACATGTCCTCAGAAATTAACCAATTTTTCTTCTGAATATCGGCACTGGAAAATTACAAACTCTTGTTAATAATTTTATAGTTGAATTCATGAGTCAATTGAGACTAGACCACCATTGAAAACCTGGAAGTACTGGATAGCCATTTGTTTTAATATGGAAATTCTCAACAGTTCGCACCCAAGATCCTGTGAACGGAACTCAAAGCCAGGACCTTCAGTCTCACGCACAAATGCTCAACATCTAGACCGCTGATCTGGCGTCCATCGGTATTAACATCGAACTTCAATCGATACACAATGTTGCGTGACCATCTAGTGAGCATGACAGAATGTCCTGGATTTGAGTGTCTTTGATGTGGGATCATGGATGTGAACTGTTGAGGAGTCCTACAATAGAACGAAACGACTGCCCAGTGCTTTGAGGTTTTCCATAGTGGTTTAGCTTCAATTACTCATGAATTCAACTATTAAATTACTAAAACTTTGGTTTTCGTCTAAAAATTTTGTTTAACTTAGGAAAGTTATCCATTCTAGATAGTCTAATTATTCTTTTATTTACCTTATTATTTTTAGCTTGGTCACATGTGTAATGCAACATATACAGAAGGATCGGGTTACATTAGAATTGCATAAAAGAACACTTTTTTTATTGGTAAACAAAATGTATTGTTATTACAATTTTAGAATCAGCATACAAAAATAAATGGATCATTTAGACTCTCTATTGTTTTGTATATAACTGACGATCAAATCATTATCTAAAGTGATATTATTCATTTTATAGATCTTTAAATCTCTTCAAGTCAATATAGACTAAGCAGTCCTTGTAATCGGCACATTAACATCTACAGACAAAAATGCCTAATTGACAAAAAAAAACCTCTGTTGAAATATAATAGACTATGATGATGTTTTAACATTACAGGAAATCATTTTTCGGCATTAATAGTCCACTGGTAACTTACCGACTGTTACATAGCGCGATAAGATATCAAAGATAACAAAGAGAAATTTGTTCAGTCAGAATTCTAGGAAACTTTTACTGATGTATACTTGAATTCAGAAAACTTAGAGAAATCAATTCCTATGGATTCTTTAGAATCAAATAACAATAAACGACGTACATACATACACAAATACTAGCAATCTACATTTCATAAAACATAAAGCATGTGTAAATGTACACATGTATTTAATTTAACCAGCATTTGTTTATCTATTATGAAAACTGCTTTACTAAGTAAACATGTTAACGACTAACCTCTAACTTCAGTACATCCTAAATGTGTTCAATTTATTTATGACTATTGTTTCATGATAACTTAAACTTAAAGATTCCATGAGTCTGGTAAGCAAAATCATAAGTTGAATAAACAACCCTAGGTTTTTATCAGTAAGAGGATTTGTGGAAATTGTAGTATTTTAACAGTTGAATTCATGAGTCGATCTAAACTAGACCGCCATTGAAAACCTAGAAGTACTGGATAGCCATTTTGTTTTAATATGGAAATTCTCAACAGTTCGCATCCGAGATCCTGTGTACGGAACTCAAAGCCAGGACCTTCAGTCTCACGCACAAATGCTCAACATCTAGACCGCTGATCTGGCGTCCATCAGTGTTAACATCGAACTTCAATCGATACACAATGTTGCATGACCATCTAGTGAGCATGACAGAATGTCCTGGATTCGAGTGTCTTTGATGTGGGATCATGGATGTGAACTGTTGAGGAGTCCTACAATAGAACGAAACGACTGCCCAGTGCTTTGAGGTTTTCCATAGTGGTTTAGCTTCAATTACTCATGAATTAAACTATTAAAAATCCTAGGTTTGCACTAGAACTTATCAGGTTACTTATTTAATATAATAAAATATGGATTGTCCGACCGTAGCTGCTACCTTGACGCGGTGGTCAGGCTTGCCTATCGTGATGACCCAACCTAGCTATATTGGCTGGAACATATGTTCCTGTAGGTCCTATCATGCTAGGGAGATCTATTGGAGAACGGTAAAACTAAAAGCAGCAACTCAAGGTCTGAGGGCGAAGTTGTACTGCTGACTGTAGAGGGGTGTAACAGCAGTTAGATGTTTCCCTTGGACAACCAGCATCTGCAGTGGTGCTGCATTCTTACAAGGAAGGAATGGATTAGAAAAGGTCGACCCTAAAAATTTCACACCTCACCTTACCTTACGGATTTCCGTCTCCGGCGGTAAGGCCCTATGAAGAACGAAGCTAACATGTTAAAAGCTCGCCACAAAAAGGCCATGCGTGGCCGGCCTCAAGCAGTTGTCTCTTGGGCTCTGTGGTCACGCTACCAAGTCGTTAATACCAACACTAATCCAACTTCCTTTTCAGGTTCTTCAAGAAATACCCTTCCAAGGTTTGGGTAGCCAGAAGTTATATCAGCCCTCATACCTGTAACAGCACACGAGGCCAAGTCGGTCACATTCAAATCCCTCCTACACCATCAAATAAATCTCTTATCTCCACGACTAACCCTTCTGACGTCCCTTTATCACCTCGCCCCACTAAAGCAAACGATTCGTGTACGCGGAAGGTTATTTCTGGTCTCCTGAAACCACGCTCTAAACTCCATGTAAGAGCTTTTAACGTCAGAACACTGTGCCAAATAGGACAACAGGCTTCCTTAGCTAGATAGGGACACTCATCGTTGTCTCTTCGTCGTCTCTGCCTACTCTCCCACTGACTGCAGCTCAGATGATGTAAAAGACGATTTTCACAGAAAGCTTTCCGCTCTGATTTAGTGATAGTGGCTGGTGACTTTAATGCCCAAGTAGGTAAACTAAGCGATAGGGAAAGACACCTGGGTGGATATTATGGAGTCGCGGCTCAAAGAACAGATAATGGCGACCGTCTGTTGCAGTTATGCTCATATAACCGCCTGTTCCTTGCAAATACTAACTTTAAGCATAAGGAAAAAATATTTTGACATGGCGACCCCCGAATTCGTCCCAACGTTGGACCCAAATAGATCACATCGCTATCAGCCACCGATGAAGGAGCTCAATAGAAAACTGTCGCTCGTTCTGGAGCACATACTTAGACTCAGATCATGCTCTAGTGCAAGCGCATATTTGTCTGCGTCTTACTGGACACAAGAAAGACGCTACAAGGAAACCTCTTAGGGTCCTACTTAATGATAGCCAGGCTAAGAGTATATTTCAGGAACAACTAGGGAAACAGTTAGGCAGCCACGTATGTGAAGCCCACCCCGAGGCAGCATGGAATGATATCCGAAAAGCTGTGGAAACAGCAGTGATATCTGCAAGTACGGTAAACCATAAGGTTAGGGTGAAACACTGGATCTCAGCAGCATCTACCACACTGATAGATGCTCAAAAACTCATCCCATCTAACTCTGAACATGACGAAGAGCGGAGTTACCTTAAGCGCAAGCTGATAAGAAGCCTACGCAGTGATCATGAACAGTGGTGGGTAGTGAAACCAAGAGAGATGGAAATGGCAGCGGCAATAGGTAATAGCAGACAATTGTTCAGACTTGTTAAGGAAACCAGTATTAGGAAGCCGACTGTTAGCGAAACAGTCTCAGAGAAAGACGGATATATCATACATTCTTAATCCAGGAGATCGGATCGATGGGCAGAACACTTTAGGGATCAGTTCAACTGGCCTTCAGCCACACTTCGGTTTCCCACGATCTCCAGTCAACCTGAATGGCAAGTTGATGTAAGTTCTCCGACCCTTTACCAATTTGAAAAAGCCACAGAAAATCTGAAGCGTGGGAGAACAGCAGGTCCTGACAGGTTTACTCCTGAGATTTTTAAGGATGGCGGTTCAGTATTAGCAGCGAGATTACCTGAGGTCTTAGGTAGAATTTGGGTACTAGACGTAATCCCATCTGACTGGTCTCAATCACTGATTGTGCCAGTCTGTAGGAAAGGACAAAAGTCCTCTTGTGACAATCACAGAGGAATCAGTTTGACTAATATAGTGTCTAAAATATTAGCTTTAATAATACTTCGACGCTCAACTAAAGCTCGTGAAGAGCAGACTAGAAAAAACCAGGCCGGTTTTCGACCTGGACGATAGTATTTCTCGACCTTAAGGCGGCATTCGACTCTGTTGATCGTGAGGTTCTATGGCAGTGTTTGTCACTGAAAGGAGTACCAAAGAAGTACATTAACCTTATAAAGGCTCTCTACTCGAACACAACTGGTCGAGTGAGAGCTTATGGCGAACTGTCATCAGAATTGATTACCTCAAGTGGTGTTCGTCAGGGCTGTCCACTCTCCCATTCTTGTTCAACTTTGTCGTCGACGTACTTTTAGAGATAACACTTTCCTCATCTAAATTTCCAGGGGTTGAACTTCTACCGGGAGGTTCACTTGTTGACTTAGAATATGCTGATGACATAGTTTTATTTGGTGAAGACGCTGACAAAATGCAGAGTCTTCTGACCACTCTAAGCAACAATGCAAGCATGTTCGGGATGCGATTCTCCCCTCGAAATGCAAAATGTTGCTTCAGGATTGGGTTGCATGACACCCGAACTAATGATAGGGAGTGAAGTAATTGAGCGTGTCGATCGCTTCACTTATCTTGGAAGTCTCATCAGCCCTTGTGGTCTGGTGTGTGACGAAATCTCAGCACGGATACAGAAGGCTCGACTAGCTTTTGCCAACTTGCGTCATTTATGGCGTAGGCGAGATATCCGTCTATCAACCAAAGGACGGGTTTACTGCGCAGCAGTTCGTTCCGTCCTACTTTATGGCAGTGAAACATGGCCGGTAAGAGTAGAGGATATTCGTAGGTTACTAGTATTTGATCATAGGTGTCTTCGAAATATTGCTCGTATATCTGGGACCATCGAGTAAGTAACGCAGTTGTTAGGAAACGGGTACTAGGTAAGGATGGCAAATCAATTGGTGAAGTTGAGATGGCTGGGACACGTGTTACGTATGCCCAACGACCGACTGCCTCGACGTGCGATGTTCAGTGGTATAGGAGTAGGTTGGAAGAAAGCTAGGGGCGGCCAGACCAAAACATGGCACAAGTCCATGAAGTCACTGACAAGTGGACTGAGTCATGTTGGTAGGTGTAGACTACCTGGTTGGGGACCGCGAGATGATAGCAACCGATGGTTAGAGACCCTGAATGACATGGCTCAAAATCGTTTGCAATGGCGCAGGTGCATAAACTCTTTGTGTTCTCCCAAATTTTGATCTCCTTATTCCTTCTTGTCTCTTTTTTTCTCTTCCCAAATTTATTTCACTGTATTATACTCTTTAAATAACATCTCCAAACCCTAATCTTCCCGATTACTGCTTATACTCTTACAGCCTCTACCACTACGGGATTTGAATCGATAACTGCATCTCTGTGCTATTGTGGTGTGGCAACTCGAACTGATGTACGTACGTACGAAGTTCTACGTTGTTACTGACTGACTGACTGAAATATGGATTGATATCATGTTAAATCTTGAGTTATGATAAAAAATAAATCCCTATACAATCATTTTTCAGATGTATAAACTATTAGGTGACAATGTGTTTTAAAGAATGTAGACAATCACTAGGGTATATGATTTACCTTTCTTTAAGAACCATGCTATAAATAACAGAACCAATCCTAGATGAAATCCTGGATCTCATGAGCACGGTTTCAATTTATGTATGTCAGTAAAAACTAAGAATCCAGGTGTAATGATCAAATCATTATCTCTTTAATATG